CCCCCCCTCCCCCGGCCTCCGTCGTCTGCGTTTCCACCAGCTTTCTGCTCCTCGCACCGCCTGCCGTTGCCCTGCTCTGGGTGTGCAGCCGCCCCAGCTTCCTAACCTGCCTGTCCTCGGGAGCTTGTGCCCCTTCCCGAAGCCCTCGTGTCCTGGAGAGATGCCTGCCAGCCCCCTACGCCGGGGGGGTGGACCAAACCCCAGTGCTTCATAGGTGCCTTTGTCCCGGCCCCAACAGGGATGTTTCTGGCCCTACCAGCCCTCTGCTGTGTCTGCAGCCTGCTTTATAACCCAACACCACCATATGCACACGCCTAAAGAGGAGTACCTGGCTTTCCATCTTCATCATTACACATGGCTTAAATTACTTCTCACAGTTGTTATGAAGGACAATTCTGGAGTTGGGGGGATTAGAGCGGTAGAGGGGAGATACAATACCTTCTTACGTTCCCATGCTAACCATCATCACTATACTTAGGTCTGTCCAAAAAGAAATAGCACCCTGTTTAAGTGAATCTCCAGGTACTGGCCGAGGTAGTCCTTGTCATCTTGTAAAGATGAACAGTACTAAAATTTCCTATCTTCTCTGTTACCCCAACTCTGAGGAAGTGACTTTTTCCCTTAAGACACATATCTTTGGCAGCATATTACTACAGGAATCTGAATTGAGTGTGAATCTGGAATGTTTAAGTTGATGCTGTAGTAAGAATTGGATCAATTTTCAAGCACCTTATTTGTAAAAACAGACTGGGAATTTGTCATCCCAAAAGCAAAACTTTTAATGAATTACATAATACTGTGCTACTATTAAAGCAACCAAACAAAAATGCCATAAAATCTCCTTTTTCATTCTGTATTATGCTACAGATATCTATTGTCTCCTTGACAGCTTTTTTGTACAGCTATTTCAAATGGTTAAGTTAAACACACTAAGTTTGGGCTCTTGACACTCAGTAGTGGAAGAGGGGAGATGGTATAGCTAGCTGAGATACTGCCTCTTTGACAGAGACAGATGCTGCTTGAAACTATCAGAGAATTTTGAACATCTTGACGCTAAGGCAGCAGCAATCTTGCTTTCATGTACCAAGAGGTTTTATACAATGGCTAATACCTTTTTGAGTATGTTAATATGTAAATCAATAGGGAAACATACTTACATTTTAATTAAGTTTTAAATTTAGTATTCTCTTGAGATGAGTGCTTGTTGGAGATAGTGCAGGGAAGTCTGGGGAAGTTTGTTTATTTGGGAGGCTTTAATTGCATCTGATAATGCCTATGAAGTTAATTTTTATTTTTTTTTATTGAGAACTTAGGTTCTGAGGCACACTTGTATGCCAGTTAATAGAATCTGAATAAATAATTGCTGTGAGGGGCATATTCTTTAAGTTTATGCTAACAGTTTACGCTATGGTTCGTTTACTGCTTTAGGGAAGAACCTGGAATCACATGCAGCAGGTCTTACTCATTATTATATTGCATGGCAAAACTGTTTCCTTTAATATGTTAATAGATTACAGACTGGAGTGGTCTGCCAATATCCTCTATGTCTCTTCATTTGTCAATGTGATAATGGCTCTTTTACCAGGAACTCGTGCATTCCCATCAACGGTCCCTTCCTGTATCTGTCTGCCCTTTTGGGAGGCAAACAGCCAAAGCCTCTTCCTCTAAAATTGTCAGATATCCAAAATAGCGCTAGAAAATATTTTCATTTATTGTTGTGACTGCATCATCTTTATCTGTAATTCTTGTGGATTTTTTGTGGGTTTTTGTTTGGTTAAGGTTTGGCGTTTTTTTTTTTCAACAAAGTTTATGCCCTTGTCACCTACTCTAAACTAAAAGCTTATCTAGTAGGAATTTGGAGATTCAAATAGTTATCATATACAGGCTTTCAAAGAGATTGCCCTTTATTTATAGATTGTTTTGAAAGTATGCCTGGGGAGCAAAAACTTCTGAACTTTTATAGCATCATAAGGTGTTTGACAAAGAAGTACTTTATTGACTTGGTATCTTGGTTTCTCACTGGAGTTGTAGTTCATCCGCCTCATGACCCTGTCTTGAATGTTGCTGTGAGCTCAGTCTGTAAAAGAGAATGAGACTGAGTTGGTTGACAGACAGTTGCTGTGACATAACAGCATTTTAGTCTGAATATTTTGGGATTGAGTCAAAAGACTTTGGCTTGAGAGTGTTTAAGGTGGGTTTTTTGTTGTGGTATTTTAACAAGTATGCAGCTTCTTGAGAAAAACATGTTTTCTCTGTGTGTGTCCAGCCTCCCAAGTCCTTTGTCAGCCATCTCCTCCCCCCAATTTTGAAAGCAAGCACTCTTGGAAATTTTGTTACCAGCCACAATAGAAAACAAAAATAGATGTTCTTATGCATCTTCTTTACTTGTTTCTTTTCTAGATATGTACTTCAGTGGCAGATACTTTTTTAGACAGTGCAAGACAGTTCAGTATCTGAATTATTTTTGTATATTATCGTATAAGTTTTTGTAGCCTATTGAAATGGAACATTTTTTAGGTTTCAGTAATTAAAGGAATTGTTGCATGTGTTTGGTAGTTGTATTTGGTATATCAAATCTTATTTTGCCTTAAATGTGTGTTAAAAACTCAGCCTTTATAACTGAAACAATTTGATTACTGTCATTACTTTCATTATTGTCATCTTGCAAAGTAAATCTTAGTCATAAAGTTTCTGTGCTGGTAAAGGAAAATTCTCCCTGGTTTTGTTATGTTTCAGTTTTATCTTTGTACATGCTTGCCCTTTTTCTCTAGATGCTACAGAGATACGTGGTTTTTATACAACAAAGGTGAAAACCGTAGAGTTTTGTGATAAAAGTAATGAAGACTTGCTTTCAGTATGCTTTTGTGCGTGTTTAAATTTTCAGATGATCGCTAAAGATTTTGTTTGCTCTTTAAATGGCAAAGGCGTAGGGATAAGGGAGAGGCTGGTCCAAAGGTCAGGGTAATAGCCTAGGACTTGGACTTAAACTGGCAGTTTCCTTCTGCCACAGATTTTGCATATATTGTTGGGCAAATCACCTTTGTGCTCTAGCTGTAAATTGGGTTTAATAGTACTATTCAAATTTGTAGGAGTGTTGTGAGGATAGAGATACTGAAGCAATTGACAGAATATAGAGGTGTGTAAGTTTCTGAAATGGGAAACTATTTTGTTCTGCATCTCCTGTACTTGGCTGACATCTTGCTTCCCGGTACTTGGTAGGTGCTGCTCTAACTTCTACTGTATGGACTCTTGCTCAGTAGCATGGGAGAAGAGGAAGGACTACACCAAACACAATTACTGGTATGTAATTTTTTGCTGCTTAAATGAAACTGTAATCTAGTATTTTGTCCAGTCTCAGGAACAGGGTAACAAAGAACTGGTTTTTATGATGAGATATTAATTAGAAGTGTTACAGAAAAAAAAAAATCCAGTGAATGCTGTGAAAGGTTTACCTTTAAGAATCTTTAAATATTTTTTTCCTCTGCTTCTACAAACCCAAATGTGTATGATGTATTGAGGTTTTCAAGTTTTCTGTTGTGTTATGTTCTTCTGTTGGTGTGCCTTAGAATAGTAGCTGTATGAAAACCAGGTTAACATTCAATCGAAGTTTTAATTATTCTTCACAATAATATAAGTTGAAATAAAAGAAGCTTCAAACTCTGCACAGAGTGGTTAGTGTTTGATGACATAATCATCCATGGTTGATTAGTAGTCTCAAAAGATGTCTCTAAAGGTCAAGTTTTACATGGGAGGGGTGTGTGTGTTTAGAAATTACTGTACATAAAACTTTGTAGAAAAATTTAATGGGATATCCTCCAATAGGAAGTTGTAAAAATATCTAAAAATCTGGAAAAGGCACTATCAAGCAAAAACTTGGGTTTTATTTAACAGGAATAACACAAATATGTTAGGTTACAGGAGAAAACTTTAAAAGAAACTTTCAAAGCATTTAATATATTGGTAATTCATGGATAGCTTTTAAGAAGTCTATGAAAATGACAGTATGTCCAAGTTTATATATTCTGTATTGTAGCCTCTGCATATTATGATTTCTAAAGAGCTTTGTACCTTCAGTGGAAAAATCTTTAAGAGTTGGCGAATCCAAAAAAAAGGTTATTTCATGAATACCATGAACAGCAATGTTAGAAGTATTGTACAGAGTTAGACCAAATGTTTGTCTAGCCACTGTGCTATCCCCAGGTTTTCAGAGTAGATAAGTATGTAATATATTTTGAAAGGAACAATGTTGTTGCACTTTGGATTTTTATTGACTCTGAGAAAGCTGAGAGAAAGCTCTCTGGAAGTATGTGGAACATACCATAGCAACCAGAAAGCAAGGCAGAGGCTAGGGCTTACCAAGGGAAATGGAAAAGGGCACTGCAAAAGTATTTTGGTTTTATCAGCTTTTAGTTGAAAAATTTTGTTTTGTTTGGGTCACTATATTAAAAAAAAATCCTCAAATATTGGGCAAACAGGAATTCAGAAGTCTTAAAGGGGACATAACAAAGGTTCATAAATGTAAAGATCAGGTACTAGCTTTCATTTGCAGCCTAATTTTTATAAGACTAAAAGTGACATCTAGTGCATTAAAAAAAAATTAATTTGTATTTCAAGAGATCAGCTGCAATATTTGCATGGGGCACTGTTGTCAAAATTAGTGCAATTCAGAAGAAGATCTGGAAGCTAGTGCTTGAAAGTCAAGCTTTGAAAAATTCAGCAAGTGATTTTTTTTTTTATATAAATAATGAGAAGCCTGCATGTACCCCACTTATTTTTAGCTGGTGAACCTAAACTAGGAATACAAGAATTTTGCTTTCTTATAGTCAACTGGGAAAGAGGTACAGAAGCCCATACACAGGATGACTGTGCCTATCCTTATTGGAATTACACAGTTCGGTTACTGACCTGAGTAAGGGAACTGGAAGGATTGCTTTAGGCACCCCAGTTGAATGTCTCAAGTTATATGGAACAAATCTAGATCTTACTCTCTCTGTAGCCAAAATAAGCTAACCTTTTCAAGTATGCTGCCCATGGTATTTTTTTCATGTTACTCTGTTAGGCATGTTGATGTTCTGGAGGGGTCAAATCTTTTAAAGATGGTGTGCCAGGTTGTATTTTTATTTCCAAAATTAGAGGTTAAGCATGCCAGTAGAAACTCAGGAGGAGCGAGGAGAAACTGCCTCTCCAATAGGTGAAATACAGCCGTTGAGATGTTTGCTTCTGTGCGAAGCAGCGGCTCCTGACTTCCATCAAGTGTGGAGCTTAATGGGAGCCAGGAGCTGGGAGCCCATGCCTCTCTACGATGCCATGACTTGTGGACCTGCTCACCCCTGGTTCCCGAGTGCCGTCTTTGGGACCCAGTCCATATGTTCCTGACCTCTGTTGTACCACACTGGCCATTCTATAACCTGGTATGACAATTCTGATGTTTCTATCTTAAAAGAATTTGCTGTTTAAGATTAAAGCTTTCTGTTTTGTTTTTTTAGTCTTTTTTTTCACCTCCTTCTTGAGCTGTTTGTTATACAAGATTTTTTTTTTTTTTAACAGGACACAATGTTTGTGCGAGGATTAAAGAGAAAATGTTTTGATGGCGAAGAAGATATTGAAGGAACTCTGGCTGGTATTAAGGCTATTCCTTCATATAATCTTCAGCGGCAGTCACTTTTAGATATGTCCTTGGTTAAACTTCAGCTGTGTCACATGCTGGTTGAACCTAACCTTTGTCGTTCGGTACTTATAGCCAACACAGTACGGCAGATCCAAGAGGAAATGACTCAAGATGGGACTTGGCAGATGATAAATACACAGAGTACAGGGCAGGCATCCCTGGATCGTCTTGTTTCAACAGATATCCTCTGTCGTTCATCTAGGGAACAAGCTGAGGGAAAGCATGTTCCAGGCTATGGTACTTTCGGTAAAGACTTTGAGGGTGACCAGGCACAAGATAGTTCAGAAACTATGTCAACAGCCTCTTCAGTGCAAGCTCAGAGAAGCCTGCAGAGCGATGTGTGGGAAATGGAGAATCCACAAGAAAATAAAGGAAACTTTCAAAAATCATTAGATCAAATATTTGAGACACTGGAGAATAAAAGTCCTAATTCTGTTGAAGATCTCTTTTCAGAAGTTGACAATTCCTACTATGATCTTGATACTATGTTAACAGGCATGATGAGCAACACAAAAATGGGACACTGTGATGGGCTTGAAACGTTTTCTTCTCCAACAACTACAACTTCTAACTCTAATTGTAAATCTGATCTTAATGAGCTTGATCATATTGTGGAAATCCTTGTTGAATCATGAGACTCCTTGTGTAGGAGATAAAGATCT